AGGCCAGGTGCCCTGGTGCACACCTGTAATCTTAGCACTTGGGAAGATGAAGCCGGAGGACTGTCATGAATTTAAGGCTACCTGGAACTACAGAGTGAAGCCCTGTCTCAGAAAACCAAAATAAATAATAATAAATAATGTGGAAAACAACAAAGGTGAGTGAAAATGTTGTTTAAAGAATTCTAATTACTTACAAATACTTTGCTGGGAACTTGACCACCCTGAAACTTAAAAAAGAAAAATGTATTTTATTTTTACCTTATGTGTATGAGTACATTGCTGCATGTACGTAGGTGCACCCGTGTTGTGCAATGCTGGCTCAGAGGTCAGAAGACGACATTGGATCTCCTGGAACTGGAGCTATAGATGATTGCTAACCACAGGGCAACTAAAAACCATCCATAACTCCCATTCCAGGGGAATTCGATGCACAACATGGATGCACTTAGGTACATGCAGGCAATGCATGCACACACTAGAAAAAGTAAACTGAAAATAAAATATTTAAAAAATAATAAAATTACTTTACAAGAAGAACAACTATCCTGTCATCTATCTATCTATCTATCTATCTATCATATATCATCTATCTATCTATCTATCATCTATCTATCTTCTATCTATCATCTATCCTTCTATCATCCATCTCTCTCTCAAAATATGTCTAGTATAGATAACTCTATAGAACCCTCTGAGTAACTTAAAATGAAGTATAAGAGAAAACTCAAAACGTGCTATTCCAGCAGAGAACATGTTACCCTTGTAACAAGCTTTAAATTATTTTGTAGTGTCTCTTTTGCTTTTATGATTAAGGCCAAAATTCTTAGTGCAATCTTCGAGTTCCTGCCTTGACCTATGACTTTATCATGAACCTGTTCACGCTCAGCCACACTGGCCTGCCCTCAAGTCCTTGTAGGTACGACAGGGCTTCTGCTTATGTTTTGCTGTCTGGATTTCTTCCTCCACCTGCCTTCTTTGCCTCTGTGGCTCTGGCTCATCCCTCAGATCTTTTCTTCTTACTCATTACCAAGCCACCAAAGGTTCCTCATCTCATCCTGACTTCCTTTCACATGTACTCATAAACTGTTTCCTGTTTGGCTCTTATCCCATTTGGCATATTCCTTATCTATACTGCTTAACCAATCACCCCAAAATGTAGTGGCTTCAAACAACAAGCATTTATTGTCTCAAAATTCCTGAGAATTGGGAACTGGAAGCAGTTTAGCAGACCTGTTCTGGCTCAGTCTTTGACGAACATTCACGCAGCTGTGGGTCCTGCCTGGAGCTGGAGGCTCTTCCGTGCTTAGCTTACTTGGCTGTTGCCAAGAGCATCGGTTCCTTACTCTGATTCCCAGCTTGAGACTCCACAATGAGGCAGCACATCAAGTGCAGAGTGAGTGACCCAAGAGACAGAGGGGGAAGGACTATGTGTCCTCCTTTGCAAGTCCTGATACCGCTCCTGCTTACTTATCAGAAACACCTCTTAAGTCAGACTCACACTAATGGGGAGAAGACTTGATCTCCTTTTGAGAAGTTTTTAAAGATCTTTCTTAAACTTCCCCACATGATTACTTAGATAAACATCTACCTTCTTTACTAGACTAAGAATTGCTTGGGACTAGGACCCCATTTCTACTGTACTCTGTTGTGTCCCTGGCACCATCTAGGAGCCTGCCAATATGTAGGCATGCAATAATACTGAAGGCGGGAAGGCAGGAAAGAAGGAAGAAGGGAGGGATGGAGGGAGGAAAGGAACTTTGTATTTGCAATGCAGATCTAGTGAACGTTGTATGAACCTTAACTTTCTGGTTTGGGGAAATGAGTACAATTATAGCCACCTGTGGGATATATATATGTCATGAAATAGAAGGGAGACTATGAGGGAGAGAGAGAGCGTGTCTGAAGGGAGGTGAAGCCAACAACAGAGAGTAGTGAAAGGAGAAAAAGAAAATACATGTTTTCTCTCAATTGCAGAATCTGTGTATAAATAGTTTGGCTGTTTATACAGATAGCCATATACATCTGTGTGTGATGATAGGAAAGCAGAAGTGGGATTATTTGGGGATAGGAAGGACAATTGGTTCCTTTTCTGTTGCTGTGATATTATGTCCAAGGCAACTTCTAGAAGGAAGAGTTTATCTGAGCTTACGGTTTCAGGGGTAATGGTCCATAATGGCAGGGAAAGCATGAGCAAGGCTTAAAAAGCCTCCTCCCAGGCTGTGCTTCCTCCAGCAAGGCACACCTCCTAAAATTTCTCAAAAGAGCACCACCAACTGGGGACAAAATATCCAAATACTCAAATACTTGGAACCTATCAGGGACATTCTCATTCAAATCACCACAGAAAGGAACCAGCCAGAGAGGCCTAGGAGGGATGAGGGAGGACAGGTGGAGCAAATCTGTGCAATGTACAATGATACATATGTGTGAAGGTATCATAATGAAATGGATTATTTTATATGCTAATTTCAAACGTCATTAAGAATTGAGTAATTGAGCCTGATGCGGTGGGACACGCTTTTAATCCCAGCACTGGGGAGGCAGAGGCAGGTGGATCTCTGTGAGATCATAGCCAACCTAGTCAAGTTCCAGGCCAGTTGTGGGTACAGGGAGAGCCTGTCTCAAACAACAACAAAAAGAATAATCACTCTCTATATAGCACCTGGTACAGAAGAGGCTTATTGGATCTGATTTTTCTTCACCGTCCATATTTAAATCACATATGGATATCTGATGTGGATCCACTTCTTAGGTAGTTCTCACCCCTCCCATCTTTTGGTACATTTCAATGACTACTACTCTAAGACCCTTACCCATTCCTGGAAGCCTTCTCCAGTTCCCTAGTCCCAGTTCTCTCTTTAGTGCAATACATCTGACATACTACAAGCAGTCTAGTTATATTTAACTTTATGTTACTCATTTTTGGCAGCCTTTGTTGCTGCTGCATTTGGTAAGTACATAAGTTTTGGATGAATTGCATTTGAATTCCAGATCCATTTCCGTTCCTTGTTTGTACTGGATTGATAATACCCCCATGCCCACTCTGGCTTAGAAAAAGTTAGAGAAACATGCTCTGCCAATACCAATAGATTTGGCTGCTAGCCATATTTGACTGCCTTCTTTCCATGTCTATACACGCTAAAGGGCCCGCAGATATCAGCTCCTCTACTGGGGTAATTTTAAAATATAAAAGACTTGCATTTTTCCATAATTCTAGCTCTGAGGCAAGCATGTCACATTAATACTCTGTATACTAATAATGCGTCTGTATTTATTTTTAATGTTCCATATAGAATTAACTATATTGTTAATACCAAGAATGGTCTAAATTCTTGGGGTTTTTTTGTGGTGCTAGGGATTGAATCCAAGGTCTCATACATGTTAGGCAAGCACTACACCATAGCCCTGTCCCCTGTAGCTCTGAAGATGGTAAATCCTTAGGGATCTGTATTATATGGGTAATATAGAGTGGTAAATATGATTATTGGGATGTTGTCCAGTGGATGAAAGATGAGAGAGATAGTAAGAAACTCTGCCTTTAAATAAAATAGATATTTTCATATTTTAATAAATTAGAATCTGCTGAAAACACATATATATTCAGGGGAAAGATTACTTTTGAGGAACAAATGTGTATATTTTAGAAACATGTAGCAAGGGTTGGAGAAATGGCTCGGTGGTTAAGAGCACTGGTTGCTCTTGCAGAGGACCCAGTTTTAGTTACCAGTACCCACAGGGCTGTAACTCTGGTTCCAGAGGCTCCAACACCCTCTTCTGGCCTCTGTGAGCAATGCATATACATACTTATACACATGCAGGCAAAACACTCATACAAATAAAAATGAATTCTTTAAAAAGCTCTGATTGGGACTAAGAAAGATATGGATGTTATTTGCACAGTGGTTCCAGGGCATAACTTGGTGGTGGTCAGACATTTTCACCCTGCTCTTATTTTCGTTCAGGCAGAGAGAAGGTTTTAGAACTCTATCTCCCTGTCCCTCATTTACTACAAAAGGTCATAACTGCTTGAACTCTACAAGTGTGTGTAACTCTCTTCAGAAGATCAGTGAAAGGATGCAACTCTTGTATTTAAAGCTTAGTAAAACACTCTCCTTCCTGCCATGCCATTAGCCCTGGACTTTTGTAAACTTAGCACATGGTCTCTCCTTCCTGCTAGTATTTCTAAGCTCTCAGTTAAAGCAGCAAAAGGTAAATAGGGTCTGCTAACACTGAAAACTTTGAGATATGCAGAAAAGCTTCATTTCTGAAGTGGGGACACTGTGGATTCTTAAAGACCTCACAGATCCTGTATCATATAAGAAGCCTGTGGCTTGCATTGTGTCTCCCCTAGGCATTGCCCAAGCTGCTCAGTGATTGATTCACCAGGAGAGAATACTAGTTCCTTGTTGGGAAAGACTGCCCTGTCAATGGTCAGGTGCTTAGTGTCATTCTTGGACTTTGACCTCCAGATACCACTAGTGCCCTCTACCCTACTTGTGACAACCAAGGAAAATTTCTCTCAGGTCAGTGAGTGGCTCAGCAGGTAAGGGTGCTTACTACCAATCCAGACACCTGAACTGGATCCTGGGGATCTGCACAATACACACAGTGGAAGAAGAGAACTCACTCCTACAAGTTGTCCTCAGACCTGTGTGCACACACTCACATACACACATACACACACACACACACACACATGCACAATAAATAAATATAATTTAATTTTTAAAAGCAAAAGATCTTTAGACATTATAACAATACCCTTTTGAGGGAACAGCTTTCCCAGTTAAGAACTACTATCAATGTCTAAAGTCATCTTAATACCTCATAATCAGTTTTCGAGCTCTCAGTTAATTTAGAGAAGAAATCGAAGTCTTTCCAAGAAAAGGGATTTCACTTCTTTTTGTAGAGAACACAGCTAAGAATAAATTCTAAGCGGGACTAGGCACTCCCAACTTCTAGCATTAAGGGGGTTAGGAAAGAAGCCAAACACAAGGTCACACTTTTGATCCATGTTTAATGAAAAAGGAGTTACATGACTAGAAATGGACAAAGAAAAAAGATAATGTGGGAAAATGTGAGAACTGGAACAAAAGGAAAACCATTTTAATTCTTAATTTACTCACATATTTCTATTCATTCTTACTGATCTAAAACATCTCATCAATCCAAATCAACATAATAGTTATATAATTTCACGATGTTTTATGGGAACTCATCAAACTAATACCCAAATGATACCTTTCCTCTTCCCCCATACCCATATCTCCAGGATGCACAAAGCCAGGGCAAAGATATTTACTGTGTGTTAACACCGAGCGAAGGAAGCACAGCCTCGGGTGATTCTTTATTACAACAGCAAGTCAGCACTGGCAAATGAGCCTTCGACACAGACATGATCTCTGCTAATATGTTCATGAGAAAGCTTTTATGATATGCAACCATTTATTCTTAAGACGACCAATCACTGAAAAACTGCATCTGACTCTATTGAACAGAAATATGTGCAGAGAAGTTTCTATGGTTTGTAGTTGAGCAGACTTGAAATATGAAAGGCATGAGATTTTAAAATGCGGATGTGAAACTACGAAGCTACAGTGAGCATCTTACTGCTTTGTTTTATGGCTCATGGTTCTCAGTGGGGTCAGTCGACATTCTGATTTTATTACTTTCTACTCTAAAGCATAATGTGATCATATCTTCCTAAATAAGAAATATATAGATATATCTATATCTATATCTAGATACAGATATAGATATATCTTTGGATGAGAACTCTGATCTCTGAAAATATATACTGGTAATAACTTTGCATTAACGATCTCACTTAAAATAAAATATCCCTTTCTCAAGCTAGAATCTAGGCAGCAGTAAAACCCTAGACATTAGCCATGTGGGTGATAAAGAGAAGCAATAGATTCTTTAAAATACAGTCTAGCCCTTTAAAATACAAATCTTTTTGACGCACAGCAGTCGCCGACGTCTTATGCTCACATTTAATCACGTCTGGTTCTGGTTAGGAGGACCCCTGCCTCTTCTGATACTGGATTCTAAGCTTTTCCAGTTGTTCCACACACTGCGACTGCGCCATCTTCAGTGTCCGATTCTCCTCCGTCAGAGCCTCGAATTCCCGAACCAGCTGAGCAGCATCTGCCTTCTCCTTTTCTGCCTGGTCCAGTTTGGCAATGAGCTCCTTTCTGAAATACAGGGTGTGGGGCAAGAAGGACAGGCCTCAGTGCAAACAAACCAAGCGACTCCACAGCAGCACAGCGGGGTCAGAGCGCTGCTCTGTTCTGTTTTCGAACTGTTTGCCTAGCTCTTCTAGCCTCCCATGGCATACCGTTATATTTTCTTTCTCTGTTTCTTTTTAAAGTATTTTTAAAAATTAGCTTTTTAAAGGTTTCCATATGGGCTTTTCATACACATTTCACTGTGATTAATTCCCTACACACACAGCCCCCTCATCTCCATCTCCTGCCCACTTTTCCCCCTCTGTTCCCTTTGGCTCCATCATTCCCCCTTCCACATTGTTCTGTTGTCTTCCCCATCTCTCTTTTAAAGCCTCTTCTTTCTATCTCATGGACCCTTTTCTAGTTTCCCGGGCTTTACCCACATTTAATTCCAACTGGATAACGTACTTCTCAGAGGTTAGGATCTCCTGTGAGGGACGGCATTCAGTATTTATCTTTTGAACCTGGGTTACCTCACTTAATGCTGTCCAGTTCCATTCATTTTCATGATATTTTCATTATTTTGTTTTCTTTTTTAATATTTTTATTATTTTTATTTTATATGTATGAGTGTATTGCCTGCATGTATGTGAGTGCACCCGTGTCGTGCAATGCCACAGAGGTCTGCCCCTGGAACTGGAGTTAAGGATGGTTCTTAGCCGCCATGTGGGTGCTGGGAATCAAACCTGGGTCCTCTGCAAGAGCAGTCACTGTTCTTAACAGCCGAGCCATCTCTCCAGCCCCTATTTTGTTTTCTTTATGGCTGAATAAAATTCCACTCTGTATATGTACCATATTTTTGTTATCCATTCATCAACAGACAGATATCTAAGTGAATTTCATTCCCTTACTACTGTAAAAAGAGCAGTGATAGACATGGATGCACAGTATTTCTATAGTAGAATGTAGATTCCTTGGGTACATGCCCAGGAATGGTATAGGTGGGTCATAGGGTAGTTCGAATTTTAGGTTTTTAAATATTTATTTAATATTTTTATTTATGTGTGTATTTCCCATGTGTATATAAGTGTACCAGTGTCATGCAATGCCAGAGGAGGCCAGAAGAGGGCACCAGATCCCCCAGACCTGGACAGTTGTTAACAGTTGTAAACCACCAGTGGCTAAGAATCAAATCCAGGTCCTCTGCAAGAGCAGCCAGTGGTCTTAGCCGCTGAGCCGTCTCTCCAGCCCCCTAATTCCAGTTTTTTGAGAAACCTGATTTGCATAGTGGCTACACTTGTTTACACTCCCATCCATAGTGGGTGAGACAGGGTCTCACTCTGTACACCTAAGTTGACCTGGACCTCATTATGTAGCCCAGACTGACCTTGAACGTGCAGCAATCCTCCTTCCTCAGCTTCCCAAGTGCTGAGGTTAAAGTTGTGAGCTGCCTTGCCCAAATATTGGTTTTCTTTTTATTTTAATTTTTCCAAATTCACAAGTTTTAGGTTCCTTTATTTTATCTATCATCTCTAGACATATCCAATATGCTAAACATAGGCAAAAGACCCAAGATGTTCTTCAATCATCCAAAAACAGTGATATTTTAAAGTATTTTTATTTATTATTATTGTGTGTATGCATGTGTGTGCGTGCACGTGTGTGTGTGTGTGGTGTGTGTGTAAGAGCAGGTGCACATGTGCCATGGCCTGCAATGATGTCGGCTCTGTCCTTTTACCATGGGTCCCAGAGATCAAATTCAGGTTGTCAGACTTGAATGACAAATGCTTTTACCTGCTGAGCCATCTCACTGGCCAGTGATCTTTTTTTTCAAGCGTAACAAATTATGCACTGACTGTTCAAAAGACATAACAGCAATAAAATTTTAACTATTTCTGAGAAAGTAATCAAAGTTATAAAAGCTGCAACAAGGGGCTGGAGAGATGGCTCAGTGGTTAAGAGCACTGGCTGCTCTTACAGAAGACCTGGATTTGATTCAGTTCCTAGCACCCACATGGGAGCTAACAACCATCCATAGTGCCAGATCCAGGGGATCTGATGCCCTCTCTGGCCTCCTTGGGCACTGCATGACAGGTGCACTTACCTTGCAGGCAAAATACTCATGCATATAAAATAAAGACAATTAAATCAAAAAAATAAAAAATTAAAAGTGTAACAGTTTCTCAAAATTTACTAATTTAGAAAAAAAGAAAAGAATCAGTTAATGTATAAATTAAGGTCCTACATCTATCTTGTAGGGGCCTACTTTGTCTGAATCTTTGTCCTCCAAACTCATTAGCTCCTTTTGCTTCTTGTATCTGAGTTTTACAAATCTTCATGAGGAGCTGGGACTAGAGTTCAATGATGGACATTTACCCTGCAAGCTCAAGGCCTTGGGTTCAACCCTAAGAATATCATTTTCCATGTATTTCTCTAGCCCTCACGTACATATAATTGTCCCTTAGTATCCATCAAGGATTAGATCAAGGACCTCCATAGATCAGCTGATGCTCAAAATAACATAGCAATTTTATATAACCTAGCCATATCATATCCTCCTGTATGTGTTAACTCTAGATTATTTACAATGCCTAATACAAAGCACATGCTGTGTTAAAATGCTGTAGTATACTATTTGGAAAATAGTGAGTAGAAAATAAAAACACACTCTAACAGCACAGCATCTGATACACAATTGATTGAATCATGGCTGCGGACCCCTGGATAAAAAGGGCCACTGAACTATAGCCTAATCAACAAAATGACATATTTACATTTGGTGCTGGCTCAATAGACTTGAGGAAGTAAGCTGGGGATGCTGGAGAGGATCAAAAGTAACAACACTGGGGCTGGAGAGATGGCTCAACAGTTAAGAACACTGGTTGTTCTTGCAGAACACCTGGGTTTGAATCCCAGCACCCACATGGCAGCTAACAACTGTCCATAACTCCAGTTCTAGGGGATCCAACAGTCTCTTCTGTCCTCCACAGGCATTGCATGGCACAGGTGCACTTACCTACACGCAGGTAATACACACATACACATAAAAATAATAAAAAATTTTTAAGTAACAACATCCTAAATAAACTCAGTTCTCAGTAATATTGGTAAAAAATTTGTTGATGTAAACATAGTGAAAAGCTTTCACAGCTCATGCTTGGGTCTGATGAACAGGAGAACTCAAAAGAATACTGGGTCTACACCCCTATGTGGGTCAGTTAATCCTAAACCAGACTACATCATCTGGCTGAATTCTCCTCTTTCTCACGTTTCTTCCTCTTCTCAAGGTGAAGAACAGTTGATAAATGTGCTTAGATACATACTTTTCTATGTGGTTTTCCTAAAGGAAAGATTCTGCACTGCCAATGTGAACACTGGGTAACAACAGAGAGTGCCCGGGAAGTTCCATTTCACATGCATATTTTATAATAATATGTATTTTAAAATATGAACCAATACATCAAATCCACAGTTTCAAAGAGTCCATACCCAAGAGCTGAGGAGGTAGCTCAGGTGGAAAAGTGCCTGCTGTGCAAACATGAAGGCCTGAGTTGTATCCCAGAACCCACATAAAAAGCCAGACATGGGGCTAGAGAGATCGTTCAGTGGTTAACAGCTCTGGCTGCTCTTGCAGAGGACCCAGGTTCAGCTCCCAGCTCTCACATGGCAGCTAACAACCATCCATAACCCCAGTTCTAGGGGATCCAGAATCCTCTTCTGGTTTCCTCTGGACATTGTAGAACATGGGTGCACTTACATACATACAAGCAAAACACTTATATACATAAAATATAAATAAATAAACAAATAATAAAATTTTTATATCCAGGAATGATAGTGCCCACTTGGTATTTCAGGACTGGGGAGATAAAGACAGAAGGAACCTAGGACTCACTGGTCAGCCAGCTGAACTGGGGAGTCCCAGGTTCCATTGAGAGGCTAAATCTCATAAAAGAAGGTGGGTGGCCATTCTGAACAAACAATACCTGAGGTTGACCTCTGGTTTCCACGTGTGTGTAAATACACACACACAAACATACACACACATACACACACACACACAACACACACCACCACACCTTATACCTAAGAGAATGCAATTTTCAGATAAAATATCTATTTAGAGCTGACAGAGAAGAGTGTTGAGTAAATAATAGCACAAGTATGGAATGTTTTGTGGAAGTCATACTGAGATGACCAAAGATTGGGGCACACTGATGCCTGCTTCAGTCCAAGCTTTGGTCATTTGTGGGTTCTTCCTCCCCCATCCAAAGCCCCTGAGGTTCTGTGGGTGTGTTCTCAGGAAACTTAAAGACCTGTTCAAAGTAGTAACAGCCTAACTTTAGGGTGTAGCATGTACGTATATTGTCTTTTTGACATGTAGTCATCACTAATTGTGGCCACTTTCCTAAGAGTTTCTTCTCTTCCTTCTTGCACTGACCTGATAAATGACAGATAAAGAGAAGAATAAAAAGCTTACATTTCTGGAAAATAATAATAGTCACATTTATCTTGGAAGTAAGTCCAGGGTCACTGGGAGCAAATCCAACCTGTAATGTCCTAGGAATCCGTAACTGGGAAATGACCTGACCGTCTCATTCATTTAGATCTCCAAACAGTTTTGAGTGTTTAGTTAAGAGGTTGCGGGGGGGGGGGTATGTATTTATAATCCCAGCTCTTGGGAGACTCAGGCAGGAGCTAGAGGCCAGCCTGGGTTACATAGAGAGACTCTATTGGGAGGCATTTTTAATACAGGGTCCCCTGGAGCCATAGCTGGCCTGGAAATCACTATATAAACCAGGCTGGCTTTGATCTCACAGAAATCTGTCTGCCTCTGCCTTCTGAGTGCTGGGATTAACGCATGCACCAGCGCACCCAGCAAGAGAACCTATCTTAAAAACTAAAAAGAAAAATTACCATTAGTTAAAAAAAAAAAAACCTTTGGACACAAAACCAGACTATTGCAACACATGTATATTTATTCATGAATTATGTGTTAATGCATTATGCACATTGTAAAGCATAAC